CACACACACATACACACAAACACGCTCGCACACCTTGTTTTTCACTTTTTTTAAATTGATTGATTGAGTTATTAATTGATTGTTTAATTGATTCATCGATTAATTGATTGATTGGTGGGAGGAGGGTCACCCTGCCCCCTTGCACACACACACATATACACACACACACACACATACAGATACACACACACACATACATACACACACAGATGCATCTTGGTTTCGACAGATGGAAAGATGCGGACAAAGGAAGAAAGTTGCATAAGCAAGCAGGTAAAACGACAAAAGGGAAGCAGGGAAAAAAGGATAATTGATTGGTTGTTTTTCTTTTTCGCTGTGCATGACAATAAAGACATTTTGGTCACCATCACACTCACAGACGATCCCTGCCCCGCTACTTCTCATAAAGAAAAAACCCTCGGTAGCCCACGCTGGTTATGTGCCGGTAAAGCAGGAAAGACTCTGTAAATTACGAAACCTCGGAAGACACAAGTTCACGACGCGTACTTCGTGCACGCTGCAATCGAATAAAACCAGGGATATATAGGGAAGGATTGAGAGCGTGAATGTTGACTGGTTATTTTCCTGACTTTATGATTTTTTTTATTTAAATTATCTTTATTTTTTTAAATCGAGGAGGATCTTGGTTAACAAGAGACTAAATGAACGAAGCAGAGACCTCATTTTCGATGGGAATAAATGAAATGATACGAATAAGATGATCTTCTTCATCTTCGGTTCACGTGTTTTTCTTCCTTTATTCTTCTTTTTTCATTTTTTTTTTTTTTTTCTGATTTCTTTTCCCCAATGTTTTTCCTTTTTTTTTCCATTTCTTCTTTTTGTAAAAATGTCATACGCCAACGGGATTGGCGTCGGACTGAAAGATGTGCGGCTTATGGCAATCCGTAGGACTATTTTAATGGACGTAGCCAATGATCTTTCATCTCAGTTTTTCAGTACGCATGCGCACTGATAGGCCAACGACGAACGCACGACCTTTCAGTTGTGTATGGCCCTGGTTGTATCAGCGAAGGGTTAAGGTGGTGATTGCGTGGCCTTCGGTGCTCACGTGCTGCAGCAGAGGAAACCACGGACTACGAGGTGGATCCAGCTACGGTGGACCAGCTGATCAGCAGACCTGAAGATGTGTCTGGCGCGCACTAGCTTCTTTGCTGCTTCCCCTCTCCCCCGTTTTTTATCTTTGCTTTATGTCATTTTTCGCCACTCGAATCAACCTTTCTACCACCCCCGTGCACCCAGTGAATTATGCTCGCACTCTTCATCTCTCCATATGAGTTATTACCTTGGTCTATCTCGAAGATTTTCTCTTTGCATTTCATAGCAACACAGAAGGGATACATGAAGGGAAAAACATTTATTGTTATCAAAGTCCTTGCCTACGTGTTCCTTACCTTCATCGCTCGTCTTCCATTCGTAACACTCCTCACCTTCTTGCTTCATCTGCAAACGCTGCCACCCCTGTTGGTGTTCCCCCTTCCTAAGCGTGTATGATTAAGTAAGTGTCTACCCTCTGATGAAGTCGTGCACTAGTGCATAGCGGCAAAAAAGCGCTTCAGGGATTGCCACTACCCTCCCTGCTTAGGTTGTCGAGGCCTGTTCCCGTATTATGTGGAATCGCCTCTGAGATACAATCGGTATTTTTCGCTCTCAGTGTTTTCGCTGCTCCTCCCGCTCTTTTTCTTGTTGACACTCCAATCTGCTTCAGTTCAAATGACCATCAAAGAGGTTTCTCTTCTCT